AAAATTTTCTTTGACGAATGATTCTTTTGGTAAGTTGAAGAAAAGTTGAATTCGATGAAGAGATATAAATAAATAAGTAACAGAAGTACATGAAAACTTTTCAATCAATAAAACGAAAGAAAACAAATACAGTTGATTAAGATTTTATTTGCAAATGAAAGACTAATAAGACGAATGTATAAAAGAATGAGTCTAAGAAAATGAAATGTTGAAACCAAGACAAAGTTGTATATCAATCGTATAAGATAAACAATCTTCATATTTTTGTTAAGATTAAGGAATAGAGAAAGAAAAAGTTCTGTTCTTGATGGAAAGTTATGAAAACCTTTGATGTTTCATTTCATGTGTCTCAATGAAACCATCTTTGTCGATGTAGTTGTAATATAAATTATTCTATGATTTGACTTCATATTTCATGCAGCGAGTTTGATTCATCCAAAATAAGATAAATGAAATGTCACAATTCTAACAACTATGATTTTTCTTCTTCTTTTTTTTGTAAAAAATGAATTTTCATATAAAGAAATGATTGATTGATGATTTGTTCTTTCGATAGTGATCATAACGTTTAATTGGAGAGAGTAATATTTGATAGTTGAAGGTAATCTGCTATATGTAATTATCAATGAGAGATATATATGTTAGTATTTCTATAATTGTAAACAAAGAATATTTTCTATAAAAGACAAAAGTTGTTTATTTGATAAAATTTCAGACAAACAAATTAACAAAGTCTTGTGTATATTTTAAAACTTCAATGAGAAGAAGTTTTTCGATTGATAAAAGATTTGTTAATTGTACAAATATTTATTTTACTTTTCCTTGGAAATATGTAGTTAATGAATGTCTTCTTTTTGAGAGAATTATTTGTTCTTTTCACATGAAATTAAAGAGTTTCTTTTTGAAGCTTCTTGAGATAGAAAATGTTCGAGTGAGAATTTGTACAAAAAATGTTTGTAGAGAGAAAATAAGAATTTTTGACAACAACCATAAAAAATCGTCTTTTTTTTCTTATTATTATCATTCAGTATCGATATGACGTGTATAGTGACATTATTCTTTATTTAATGAAGCTTACTAAAATAAATTGAGTTATGTTCCAGAGATGGGCAAGTACCGACTTTCTCGAGTACGAGTACGAGTACGAGTATCGACCTTTCGAGACTTAAATACGAATTTTTGAAGTGGTTGTTGAGGAAAATAGGTCATATTTACTTCAACAAACAAAGTATTCAAAAAATTAACAACCAAAACTTTTTTCAAACTACTTTTATTATTAAATTTGAAGATAAAAATATGATAACAGATCTTTATTACATTTTAAGAAAGTAATTAAACAAACATTTTTGGCAGCTAGTTTTGCTCGATGTGGACGCATGATTAAAACCACATTGAGAAAAAATTCTTTCTATTGTAGCAGTTGTTGCTGGTACTGACAAGTATTTCAATTCAAGTTGATATAAACATGGATATAGATATAGATGTTTCTTTGTAAAAAGTAAATCTTGTTCACGACTTTTTTCACTTAAAAAACCATCAACTTCGAGTAAAACTTTTGTTTTATCATCAGATAAAATCCTTTTGTTATCATTCAAATAAGGAAATAGACATTTTCGTTTACTGAAAGAATCAGTTTTTCTTATTGAAGCATCAGTAATATCAGTTCCAGCTGTATTTGATACATCAACTCCCACAGTGTTTGATAATTGAGAGGTTAATTTAGATAAAAAATGAACAAAAGCACCACGAATTTTTTCAAGAACACGTCCTTTTACAATAGTCTTAAGGTTATTAAGCCAATCATATATGGATGTATAGTATTAGTCATATTACTAGTACAAAGAAATAAGAGAATAGTTAAAGAGGATAAAGAAAGCACGATATGGTGACTGTCATACAACTAATGTGTCATACATTACATATACTTAGATCGAAAAATTTATGACTATTTAGTACAACGTTGGAGAGTATAAAATCCTAGGCATTTTTAATAAAATATATTTCATTTAGAATCTCGAGTATTTATGCCCGAGTACGAGTACGAGTACCACCAAATTCGTACTCGAGTACGAGTACTTCGAGTATTTCGCCCATCTCTGTTATGTTCGCAATAAATTAGATAACATACAGATATTTATCGCTTTTCTCTCATTTCTTCTCTAAGTCGACTTTAAATTTTTATAAAAAAGACTTGAGAAATTTTGAATAAATATTTCAAAGAAAGATCTGAAATGATACATCTTCAAAATTATTTTTAAAAATAAATCACTTTTATAATTAAAATTCACTTGAGAGAAAGGCAAATAAAATGTTCAACGTTGAAAGAAAGAAATTTCTTTTTTTCTATTGTTTTTGTTTTGCTTTAAATAAATAAATTCTTTTATACAATTTATTCAGATCTTTAACAAGATCATCACAATATATATTCATATCAAAATCAATAAAAATCATTTCTAAACTCAATTTTAACGAACAGTTCTAAATGTCTTTTTCATCAGAAATTTCTTTGAAGAAACTTTGTTTTTCTTCTACGAACATATTAATTAATAATTTCAATTCCTTTACGGTTTTTCAATAATATTCGTTCCATTTTTCTCGTTTTTAGTTCTTTCATTCAATCAACCAAAGTTCTGTCTAACAGCCACTTGGAATCCCAATGGAATTACCATTGCTAATCAATCGATCGTTGGTATTAGACCTTTCGGCATTTTTGTGAACACAAACAATACAATCTATGTTGCTAATAAAGAAAAGAACACAATTCTAATATGGCAAGAAGAGAGCATCAATCCAACAAAGAACATTCAAGGTAATTTTACGGAACCCATTTCTCTCTTCGTGACATCAAATGGGGATATTTATATTGATGATGGTATTAAGAATGGTCGAGTACAGAAATGGAGTGCAGAAAAAAAAAACTTTGTCACAGTGATGAATGTCAACTTATTTTGTCGTGGTTTGTTTGTCGATATCAATGATACTCTTTACTGTTCAATGTCTCTTTATCATCAAGTAGTGAAAAAATCATTGAATGATCCTTTGGGGATTTCAGTTACTGTTGCTGGTGTAATAACTGATCATCCAGAATCAGTCCCAAGTAAACTCAATAATCCTCATGGAATCTTTGTCGATGTGAATTTGGATTTATATGTGGCAGATTCTCAAAATCATCGTGTTCAGTTGTTTCAGCCGGGAGAATCAAATGGCATCACAGTGGCTGGAAGTAGATCACTAAATCCAACAATTATACTTAAATTTCCAACTGGAATTGTCTTAGATGCTGAGAAATATTTATTCATTGTGGATCAAGGCAATAGTCGAATTGTTGGTTCAGGCTTGAATGGTTTTCGATGTTTAGTTGGATGTTATGGAGAGGGCTCAGAATCCAATCAATTGAATTATCCATCTAGTTTGAGTTTCGATCGTTCTGGAAACATGTTTGTTGTTGATTCATCAAATTATCGAATTCAAAAATTTAATTATTTAAAAAGATATTGTGGTAAGTTGAAGTATAATCGAATGAGATGTGAATGTTGATAATGAAAAACTGTATTGTTTTCGTTAGCAGAAACTAAAGTTCTAAGGAAAAGAAAAAGGTTTGCATGAAACTTTGCTAATCGAAAAAAAACTGAAATTATGTAAATGAAAGAATTGATTAATTTAAGAATTTCAAAGAAATTAATTAAATTTATTGAAAATATGAAATTTTAATTGACTATAGTTATTCTTCTTTTAAACATTCTCAACCTCAACATGTGAAGATAACTATCTGATCAGAAAAATCCTCAAAGATTTTAATTGTTATTAAATGAATAAAATATAGAACTTCTTAGATAGTATGACGTCAACAATATTGTTTTATTTGATTGATTGAGAAAAATATCCTCAGTTAAATCTAATCATCTGGAAGTTTCTTTCTCTCTCTTCATCGATCAGATTCTGTTTCGAATTTTTAAGTTTTATGTAAAAGTCAAATATTGTGTTGTGCATATCGATCAAAGAATTTGATGGGATTCTCTTCAATACTGCTCGATCCACATAATGTTTTCTCTTTTCAAAATATCGAAAAACAAATAGTATGAGAGAATAAAGTCAAATTATTTAAAATGAT